GGGAACTGGGAAAGCTTGTTAAGCTGTTTATGTTATTCATGGAAGCCGATGCTGCTGGGAAGATGGGTCTTGAAAGATTAGCAGGAATTCTCTCCCTTCTCCATTTCCCCAGCGCTTTCTGCTCTTCTTCCTGTACCTCATTCCCCCTCATCTTTGGGGCTGCTGCACTCCTACTCAGGGAAGACTCACCGTGCCTCTGTTTCTGATGCATGGAAAGAGCTCTCTCAAACCTACCCTCTGCAGAGTTTCCTTTTCCCTCTACTGTTCTCAGCATTTCTTCCCCTCCAAGTCAGAAGTGCCTCAGTGAAGAGATAACCTTCCCAGTTGCTACAAAACTGCTTCTGCAGCCCTGCTTGTTCTTCCGCTCCCGCCTGTGTGGAGATGCAGCAGTTGCAGCATCAGCCTTGAGCCTCCCGCACTTCCTGCAGCAAAGAGCTCCCTCGCGTGTGGGACCGAGATCCTGGGCCATCTGATGAGTCCCTCTGCCTGCAGCACAGCGTTCGCCTCCCGAGGCTGAGGGCTGACAGCTTGTCAAAGTTTTCACAGAACAACAGACAATCTAGGCAACAAATCTTGATGGCTAAATCCTTCTCCCCCCACACACCCCAGGATGCAGAAAAGTGATAAACTGCAATATTCAAAAATAGTTAGTGGTCATCTGGGATTTATCACAGAAATGTGTGCATTGGTGGGGTCGTATGGGGATCATCTTGCCTGACCTTCTGCTCACAGTGGGTTACTGTCCATGCTCCATCAGGTCAGCTGTGAGTTTATCTGACCTTGCGAACTTATGAGGATGGTGATGCCTCCCTTCTCCTGGTGACTTGTTCCAGGTCACTACCTAGTGAACAAGTACTCCCTAGTTTCCCAGTGTCCCAAACTGACCTTTCTGAGCTGTAGTTTGTGGCTATTGCCCTTGGTTATGCCACCTGCCACTAGCAAGAAAAGGTTGCTTTGCTATCTTTGCAGCTGCCCTTCAAATAGATGTAGGCTGCAATGAGATCCTCCCGTAGCCCGTCTTTGCCAAACTAAACAAGCCCAGCTCTCTCTGTGTCTCCTGAGGGCCATGTGCTCCAGATCTCCAGCTGGCCCAGTAATCCATCTGCGGGACCCTTGCCAGGTCCTCTCCTGGAGGACATCTGGAGATGTCCTGTCCACGTACCTCCTGCACTGGGGAGCCTGGAGCTGGACATGCTGCTCCAGGTGCAGCTTCACCAGGGCCAGACAGGGAGGAATCATAATTTCCCTCCATCTGCTGGCTGCATTCTCCCAGCGCAGCTCCGCAGGCTGTGGGGCTTACTGGGGATGAGAGCACATCCGTGTTGGCTGACGCTTGACTTGGCACCCGCCGAAACCCCCAGGCCTGTGCCTTGGCCCTCACGTCCTACCTCAGGCCCACGCAGGTGCCGGGGTGGCGCCAGCAGGGCCGGCCCCTCGCACGGCCCTCAAGGCCCTCAAGGTTCCTCAAGGCCCGGTCCTTAGCGCAACGAGGTCCCTGGGGTTTGGAACACGTGGTGCCTCCCTGCAATGTAGTATCGGCACGTGCAAGAATTAAAACATGACAAAATGCAAGTGATATTTTAATTCATTCAGTCACTATTTTAATGGTATTTCTCATCTTGCAGTGATCATGTATGACTGCATTTTTCCAAGTTCTCATTTGTTCCCGTCCAGTGAACTGCATTCCTGTCATCGACCTCTTCTTGGCTACCTGCAGCATCAGGGAATATGGGATCTGTGAGTATGGGATCTATTTCCATTCTCTTGCTTTTTCACTCCCTCTCCTAGCACAGCAGGTAGTGGGACTGGCCCTGAGAAGCCCAAGATGCCTTTGCAAAGGATAAGGCAAAGGATACTAGTACTTCTATTTCCCCTTTTCAGATGATTTCTTCTCTGTCTTGAACATTTATGAGTATCAGTGAGCCAGTGCATCAGGAGCCAGTGCATCAGAAGCCAGATGCTGCAGGAATTATTCCCACATCACTTCCTTCCTCAATCTCAAGAGAAAGGAGTCACTAATATTGAAATAGCAGTGCACGAATGGTACAGTGTTGGACTGTGAGGTGATGTGATACTTTAACAGATGCAAACGGACTATGAACCCCCTGCAAATGCCCCGGACATTAATAGGAGGCTTTGGCTTTTACATCAGGCTTAAATTAATTTATGACTGAATTATGAATTTGATGTTCAGGTCTGAAATCAAAAGACTACTTAGCCGTGTGAGTAGTCCCAGTGAAAGCAAGGACATGCTAGGGGCTTAACGTTAGATATATGGTCAATTGAATGTGCTCCCGGCTCCGTTGTGCCTAATTCAGACTTCTTGCCGAAAGTTTCCCAATGCTGCCATCTACAGAGCAGGTTAACTACAGCTTTCAAAATAGCAGCAAAAAAGAAAACTGCAGATAGAGGGTACTGTTCTGAACTAGCAATGTGCAGGTCTAAACAAATGCACCTGCTTAAATAGCTCTTAAACTTAAATAGTTCTTAAATGTTTTCAAGGCTGTCAATAAATAGTATTTTTATTTACATACTACCCTTAACTCTGCAGCTATTCTTAGCAATTTTCTGAGTTTTTTCCCAAGGTCTATTTCTGAAATAAACTAGACCACCTCTGGAAAGTTGCACAAAAGTTGCAGGAACATATTAATTCAAATAAATTAAATAATTTCTCAGTAAATTCCTCGTGGGGCTGTAAGAACAGCAGCAACAACAACAGACAGTTATAGATTTCTTCCATAGTGGGCATAAAACACAATTCTAACCTTGCAAACTGCATGATCTTTTCTAGAAATTGTCACTATGCAAATTCAGGGGTAACATATTGGTGCCTTTAGATGGCACATGCTTCCAAAGTGTGAGTTTAATGAAGGAGGATTCACAGAAAGTTGAGGAAAGATAACAACTCCATATGGAATTACAGATTTAAGATATAATGGTCAAAGACAAGAAACAAAAACTAGTTTTGTTTCAGGTGGGGTGTGATTAATTGAAAATATTAAATTATTAAAGAGCACCTTCTCATGAAAACAGGATATCTTTATCTGTAGCAACCCCTAAAAAAGCCCACAAATATTTACATCTTGCTGTCCAAACACTATTGTTAAAATACTAAATACAATGGGCAGAGATTAAAATTAAAGAATAATTTGCAAATAGATAAAAATAGCTTGAAGACATGTTGGAAAAAATGTATTTATTTAGAGATTATATGCATTTGATATGATTTAAAAGCACCTTTCTTATTTAGTCTATGATTTTGACTTAGCACACACTCACTTCTGTGCATTCTGTCTGTGCTTCTGCATGCAGTAACAACAGCTGGAACGGCTGCACCATTAATATTGCACAAGTTTCCATGTGTTCAGCTTTTGGATCTTCACCCCAGGCAACTCAACCCCAACTGTTCAAGTCTTCTCCATCCCCAACAACTCAGGTTGTTTTAGAAGAAAGACCTGCTGGTTTCCAGGTCCCTGTTGCAATTTTGGTAAGGAAGAAGCCTTACTAATGATGCTATACATGAGTAGATGGCTAACACTCATTCTCCTTGGTTGTTCCCTTTATTCTCTCTTCAGAAGCTATATGGGGATGCATAAGGTGAGAACATAAGGAGCATTTGCCACAACTCTCTTCCTGCTTTTCACAAAGCCAAAATTTTACCTTTATTCAAACACCTGCCTTTGAGTAGATTCAAAATCCAGAAGTCTGAGTAAAAGAATGAAAGCATCTGTAATACTAGTGTGACATTGCTAACACTGAAAAATTGATACTGCTGGCTGAAAATAACCTTACTGCAGAAATCACTAGAAAAATACAATAGGATTTCAAATGTACTTTTTGGCAGCTACACCACCACATGCCTAACTGTATGCAGGCAGTTATACATAGCAGTGGCCTTCGAGACAGGAAGGTCTTGCAGAGTAACTGCGTGTTTGTTCGGGTCCCTCTCCTATAATCTCTGACTGCTGTTGCTCCCTGGAGCATCCCACGTACGCACCATGTTGTGTCTCCTCCTGCACATGCTGGCGGGGCCTGTGCTGGGTGGAAGGCTGCAGCAGAGGCTACCCCAGCCTTCCTCCAGTTCACAGCAGCATCTACCAGCAGACTGGTTAAAATGCTTCTATGGAAAATGACCCAACACTGCATCAGAGCAAGCATTCACCCTCCTGCTAACAGGAGCTGAACAACTTCGACTTTTTGTTGTTCCTTGCACTATGGCGTTTCAGCTCACAGTAACTATGAGTAATAACAAGGAGCAGTATGTAGCACATCCAGGCTACAACATGACTTTTAATAAGCAAAGCCCATTTTTTGAACTACACTTTGGAAAGCACTAGAAGAGAGGTGGAGCTTGCAGCATACAAGCAACAGAGACAACTGTGGGGAAACATATAAAGCTGCAAAGCTCAGGCAATGTAAGGAAAGCTGCCATGCTCATAGTCAGAGACCGGAATACAGGGCATTGAACAAGAAAAAGCCTGGAATTGTCCTTTCTTTGAGCTACCTGGAGCAGGCACAAAGCTAGAGGGGGACAAGAACCATTTCTACTTAAAAGAACAGGGTTAAAGGTAATGCTTTAATGCCTTAATTCTCCCTCCTCATCCCTTAGAGTTTTCAGTCCCCATAACCTGAGATTTCTTTTCCCCTGCACTTTAAAGTTCACTTCGTGTTAGGGACTTAACACCCTTGCAAAGGGAAGTCTATTATCGCCTCTTATAGAGTACACCCTAACAGTTTCATAATAAACACATCGAGCCTAGGCCATGGCTTGTTGAGACTTGGGTTCATTAGGAACTAGAAGCTTTAGCTAGAAGTAGGAGACACCCCTGGAGCAGGTTTTCTATGAGAGAAGGCGGGAGGTCAAGACAGCTGCAGCTGACTTGCCAACCTGAACTTCCTGCTCAGAGCAGAACTTGACTGCAGGACCTTCGAATGCCCCTGAAAAAAAGATGTATAGAATGTTCCCAGGTAACTGAGAAAGTTACATTTATCACTTGAGACCATTTTGTTTTCCAGCAGAAAGTTTATTCTCATTAAGGACAAGGAAGTATCAACCAACAGCTCAATTTACAGACACAGATTTAACAAGCCCTGTTAAGCATTTTCTACTTAACATGTGAAAAAAACAAAATCAGAAGTCTGAAGACATCTGATGTGTCTGAACTGTTCACATTAAAACTTGAGCTCATCCTTTAGCATAAGCTCAACTGATGCTGCTTCTGTGTATAGCAAAGGGTGGAAACAATTCAAATTACTGTAACAGCTGTGTTTAACAAGTACTGAAGCACTGAAGATTAGACTGCATTTACTGGTGTGCTATTAGACTGCTTTCCTTGAGCCTCTTCAGCTTCTCAGGCAGACTTGCAGAAAGCCACAGCCGAAAAACGAACTTCTCCTTTTTCACGTTCTGTAAATTGTCTGCATATCTTAGCAGAATCCTTGGAAGAAAAAAGGACTGTTTAGGTTTGGAGAACGCTGATGATTGTCTAGACATCCAAAGACTTTGTAGCTCTACTCTAGATCACAGCAATTAAATTAAGATCTAGTAGTGTCAGCAAGTATATACATTTATCAGGCATCTAGTTTTGTGGCACAGCACTACCTTGTTACCATGGCTTCAGAAGCACCAACTGCTTCAGCAAGCAGGCACACAGAAGCTGCTACTGTACTCTGAAATCATGCCTGTCATCATGGCAGCAGCCTGGATGCCTGGGAAACTTGCAGCTAGCAAGAAGCCCTACCTTCAATAGCAAGTCATCTGCACTTGTGCCATGGTTTACAGGAAATGGCATACGCCCATCTGTGGAAGAAAGTCTTGCATCAGTCAGCATTCTTACTGTTACCTCCAAGGTAAGAGAACTCAGCATAGTGAACGCAGGAAACAAATACCCATGTCAAGACAGTTGGACAAGTTCAAAATACAGTATCAATGCATAGTTTGGGGAAGAGAGGGACTAAGTCTCAGCTGTACCAGAGAACACATGCTTTACAAGGGGGTCTGGACCTACAGTGCAACCCACTTTATGGTACGACCTTCAGCTGAAGGTTCTTCATTTTGTATTCTGAATTGGCTGAAAGCCTCAGCAAGCAACTCAGCTAGCAGCAAGCCTTTATCCTCAACACTTGGACAACGTAAAATAAGCCTAGCCAAACTCTTAACTGTACTCTCAGTGTCTTACCCAATTCATACAGGTGTCCATCCACATTGACAAACAGGATGAAGTGGAAGTTCACACTGTTGTCATCAACCTTAGAACAGACCATTAGGTACATTCATTAGGTTAAAAACAAAAGTCTACTGTACAGTCTGAACCCCCATTTGTGATTACAGGAGCTATAACATCTTAAGTCCTCCCAGGACAGAAAAACCAACAGCAGAGAACTGTTCAGTTGGAGAGCTGTTCATCAACAGGAGAGGACTAGCAACATTGCAGAGCTTCAGCTAAGTAATATCAATTATTCATATCTCGGTCTGAAACTCCTTATGTCAGGCTTGAGTTATCCTACCAGTCATGTTTTCAGCATATATTCAGGAAGAGTCATGACCCATTTTTCCATGCATTTGAGGAAGGAGCCCTGCACAAGTATTCATTCATTAGTCAAACATTTCTCCTTCCCCGTGAGATGTAACGGGGATTTGCAAATCTAGAACTTTATTGCTCTATCACCTTCAAGGTGCATCCCTTCATCCCAGATTTTACTCAGTCAACTCTTACCCGACATTGTCCTTCTTGTGCAACAGAATTGTGGACTTCTTGTATAGCCTTAAGAGAAAGCAGATATAGGTTATTATACCCCTAAGTGCTGCGAGCTATTGACAATTTGTATAGTTCATATACCTTATTACTTGCAAAACGCTTCGCTCTCTCTTCAGGAGACAGATCAGCTGTTTCATCAAGAAACTTCTTCAAGGCAGACCCCTCATCTGCACAAGACAACCAAAGGCTTTATTCAGCATAGATAGAGAATTGGGTACTACTCAAGCCCACAATGCTTAATGCTTATTATACTAATTATAAGTCATTGTGCTTAGCCTAGAACCATCTTTGGCTCATGCACATTTCCAAATGGTGGTGGAAGTAAATTATTTATCTGGAAGTTTCTGATGACAAATCACACAAACGGCAAGAGGCTGATGCCTCAGGATACTCTGAACGCCTGTCCTAGGGCTGGCATTAAGATTTGGCTTTTGCTATGCCCTCCTATACATTTGACAAGAGCCGAGTCACATCTTAAAGAAATTCCAAGATACATCCCAGTACTTAACAAGGTAAATGAAAACTCTTATTCTGTACAATCTCATTGCCCACCATACACATTCTCTTTTGCAGGAAGGAATCCAAAACCACTTAAGGGGTTGAGTTTTCCCTCTTACAAGGGAAAATTATGCTGTGCAGATCTCTAGTTTGAGACAAGATATTCTGTACAATATATTATTTACTTGGTGACGAATCTTTCGTGACAAGACCTAGTAATCCTATCACCTAGGAAACAGGAGTTTCTAGCCACCAGTTACCTAGGCCAGTTTTATACCCTCTTCCGTAAGATAAGGGCCATCATAAATGTTCTCCCAGGAAACGGTCTTAGACACCAATATCATATTATGCTACTTTCACATGGGAAGGCCAATCCAACAAATTTACAGCTACCTCAACACATAAATGGCATGAAGAATTGTACCATCCATTCAGGGGACAAAATGCAATTAGTCGGTTTTGAACAGGATACTTCCTCAACTGCTACAGACTCGGGTCTGCTACTTGCCCATTCCCTTTGCAAACCTGTTACTGAAGCTCTGCTCACTATACAGAGAAGATTGCAGCTACCAGGCAGTTGTCAAGTGGATTCACTCCTGCAATTCAGGCAGCAGGTGAGACCACATTTCTCAGTGGGTGAAAAACCCACTTACCAGTAATATCATAGCATGCTTTACCTGGACTTGACAAAGCACAAAAACCTCAGGGAGAATCTTCTACAACCCTACCTTCTCAGCACCTCAGGACATTCATACTCACCAAGCTTCAGTTTGTCTTTGTTATTAGCAACTGCATGTATCAGACCAATTGTCCCACAGGAGTTACTAACAGTCTGCTTCAGAAAATACACCTTGGAACTGATTTCTTGGTCCTTTATTTCCTCAGTCTGCTGTTTCCTGAAGTTCTCATGCTGCAAACACATAATCATTTTGAGCATTGAGCCATAGTGATGCATTTTTATTGAGCAAGCTAATAGACAAATCAATGATGCAGGAGAGCCAACAGCAAGACTGGACAGGAAAATTACCCAGAAAATCATCTTTGCGGCATAGGTCTGGAAATCACCACATATCTATACTGGATACATTCCAGATCTTAATGGACTACTTGCATGACTCAGTCATATTCAGCAGCACTGTGTTTAGTCCTTTAGCCTCTCCCTCTGGTCTCTGTGCTAGAAAGAGCTTGCGGGGAGTAATGGTATACAATACATAGGCTCTTTCATTCCCTCTCTGAAGGATGCTCGGATCCTTTCACTGGCTGGTCTCCAGCAGTTTGCCTTCACGCCTATAGGTGTAGCCTTCCTCCATGAGCACCTTCCTCCCCATCATGGCAGCAACAGGCAAATGAAAAACCCATCGCTATCAGGATGCTATAGCCCATTCTTTAAAGGGCCTGCTATAGGTGCTATAGCCCTTTCTTTAAAGGGCCTGCTATAGGTGCTATACCCCTTTCTTTAAAGGGCCTGCTACAGGTGCTATACATATGTTTTACAGTAAATCCCACCACATCGGTGAGTGGCAGCCCCGGGCAGCAGCTGCTTCCCTGCAGGGATGCGGGGGCTGCAGGG